GCAAGCAAAAAAAGCATCGTGCGTGCAAACACCAACCGCCTCCGCGCATGCAAACGCCAGGAGACCCCCGAGCCCCACGTACTGCAGAAGGCGGCGGTGCGCCACGGCCTGACGCGGATGCCCTGGCTCTGGCAGGCGGTGACGTAGGCCCTGACGGAGTGGCAGACCATTTCCTGATGCCCCTCGTAGAGGCACGTGTCGAAGAGGCAATCGGCAAAGTAGGGGGCCGGGTCGATGGCGCTGTGGCAGGCGGTGAAGGGTCCTTGCTTCTTCACCAGGAGCCCGCAGTGTTTGTCGCCCCGGTAGGCACGTTTCTCCGCTTCGGTGCAAACTTTGCAGCCCTCGGTGCAACCGGCCCAGCAACCGGGGACGTCGGCCACCTTCCAGGAGTCGGCAAATTGGATTTCGTCGGGAGCTGGCCGCCCGTCGGGCAAAGCGAAGTCATCCTGGGGGTCACCGTCGGCGTTGCCGCAAAGGCCGCAGACAGCCCCGGAGTAGGTGTTGGGGAGGATGACTCTGGCGTAGCTGTACCAGTCGAAGGTGACGATGACCTCAAAGTCAGTCTTGATGAAGCCGTGGACGCCGCTGAGGTAGACCTGGAGCTTGTCGCCGTGGTTGAAGGGCAGATCCACCAGGATTCCGTTGACCTGGAAGGGCAACATGGATTGCATGGTGCCACGCGACGCCCTTGAAGCCCACCAAGACGCCACGCGACGCCCTTGAAGCCCACCAAGACGCCACGCGACAAGCTTGTGACTCAATCGTATGCCATACAACAGCCTTGAAATCCACCAGATGCCAAGCAACGACCTTGCAAACCCCACCAGCCATCATGCAGTGAGCTTGCAGCCCACCTGAACACCACACAACAAGATTGCAATCCACCCAAACTCTCTGTGATGAGTTTGCAACCCACCCAAATGCCATGCAACAACTGCACAGCCCATCCAGACACCATGCAACAACCTTGCAACCCACCCAAAGGCCATGCAACAACTGCACAGCCCATCCAGACACCATGCAACAACCTTGCAACCCACCCAAAGGCCATGCAACAACTGCACAGCCCATCCAGACACCATGCAACAACCTTGCAACCCACCCAAAGGCCATGCAACAACTGCACAGCCCATCCAGACACCATGCAACAACCTTGCAACCCACCCAAATGCCATGCAACAACTGCACAGCCCATCCAGACACCATGCAACAACCTTGCAACCCACCCAAATGTCTTGCAATGAGTTTGCAACCCAGCAGGACACCTTGCAACCAAACCCAACACCATACAAGGACCTTGCAACCCACCCAGATGCCGTGCAATGACCTCGCAACTCAACCAGCACCTCGTTCTCCCCTACCTTGAGCTTCTGGGGGTACGTCTTGCTGAGGCTGAGGGTCATGTTGTAGACTTTCAGCGTGACCTCCTTGGTGTAGGAGACCACGCGGCTGCCCCGGTTGTCGTTCTCCACGGTGACGGTGAAGGGGATGAGGCTGGGGTCGTTGGAGCAGAGGGCAGCCAACTGGTAGACGCAGGTGCCCATGAAATCATAGCGGTGCCCATCGAAGGTGGTGTAATGGGGGTCGCCGGTGGCCACGCAGGTGGAGCGGCTCTTGGCCACGCACCGCCGCACGCCCTTCACCACGGCGCACTTCTCGCCCAACTTGCAACCGGCTTTCTGGCACACCACCATGCCCAAATCCGCGTCACACCTGCACCAAGATTGGCAGGTCTTATCGGCCCAAAACTCTTCACCGGGACTGTAGTAGCGACCCTCGTGGGTGCAGCCGCAGTTGGCCACCGCCACGCACTGGCCGCCGCTGAGGACGTAGCCCTCGTTGCAGGCGCAGGTCTCCACGCAGGGCTGGGTGCAAGCGGCGGGTGCATCCCGGTTGGTGCACGTGGCCGGGCAGGCGTTGCCACAGGCTTCGTAGTGGCTGTTTTTGGGGCAGGGTAACGCTGAGGGGAGGAAACGGGGCAATTAGAAGGGGAAGATGCAGCAGCATCACGTGGGTATTGCAAAGAGTTCACGCACCGAGCGCTTTGCGGGCAATGTCCCGGGAATGGATCTTGCACCGTGCAAATGCACCGAGCGCTTTGCACGCAACCTCCCGGGGATGGATCTTGCACCGTGCAAATGCACCGAGCGCTTTGCACGCAATGTCCCGGGGATGGATCTTGCACCGTGCAAATGCACCGAGCGCTTTGCGGGCAATGTCCCGGGGATGGATCTTGCACCGTGCAAATGCACCGAGCGCTTTGCGGGCAATGTGCACTTTGCACGCCATCTCCCGGGGATGGATCTTGCAACGTGCAAATGCACCGAGCGCTTTGCATGCAAAATCCCGGGGCTGGATACTACCCCACGCAAATGCACTGATTATTTTGCATGCAATGCCCCAGAGCTGGACATTCCCTTGTGCAAAGAACACCGAGTGCTTTGCATGCATCATCCCA